ATAAGGAAATATAAAATAACAACTTTATTATTGCCTCTAGGGCATATTTCCTTCAAAAAGGAAGATAGCTTTCCATTTGTTGATGCCTGGAAGGATGTTTTGAAAGATTTTGTCATTCCTAACTATCCAGATGGCCTAGGATGCTATGATTATGATCTCCATGAAGAAAGGTTGTTGTAATTTATTTCTCAGGTCTACAAAAGCTTCCATGATGGATAAGTTTCTTTGTCTAGTTGGGCAAATGATGTCCCAACACTCTGCACCTCCTCATTAGCCAGGAGGGACACATCCTCCTGGTCTTCGGTGACCAAGGCATTAGCCTCGTCCATGGTGGCATCGCCCTCCTCTCCCGTGTTCAGGGCCCTTTGAGACATGACTTCCCCGACCTCTTCGTGGATCTGGGAAGATGCAGAGCGCGACGCGGACCCCTGTCGCTAATTTGGTGGGTGGAGATGTCCCATCTGAGGTTTGCTCGACGGGGTGACCACGCAGTGGGCTGTGATATCACACAAATCAGTTTTCGTCGTTAAGGGATTAGCGAAAATAAAACATGGAGCGTCGAAGTTCCTAACTGGCGGCAGGGGGCTTGACCCCGCAGTCCTTCTCCGGGCCTCTTTGGATGTTGTGGACTCCTCATTGGAGTCCGAGCTATCAGACAGGACGACCTTGGGCCTGCACTGCCTCTTCGGGGCTCGAGGGGGTTGTTCCTCCTCGACATCTTCGGACGCCGCCCTCTTCTTGGAGTGCGAGGAGGCGCTTTCCTCCTCGTCTTCGTCTTCCTCCCCGTCTTGGGCAGACGGGGCTGCTGCATTGTCGGCCTTGGTGGCTGGATGTTCCCTCAAGTGGAGACCTCCACGGGCCTCCAGCGGCCCCTTTTTCTTTTTCTCCTTTTCTGGTGCCCTATATGGCGCCTCGACCAGTAACTCCCCAAGCTGAGCAGATTGCGGCTCTTTGGGCAGTGGAGCCGAACAACTGATCTTCTTGGCCTTCTCAAGCCAGCCCTGTTAAAGCAACAAAGTGGGGCTTAGACCAAACTTTGTACATTATGATCGCCCGAATACACGACGTGCAAAGAATTACTTACCTTCTTCAGAGGGTATGTGGTATCAAGACCGATGTCTTCCTTCTCGCCCGACCACTCCTTCTGAGGCTTGAACAACAGACTCCACACCTTTTCATGGGTGGTGACAAAGAGGTGCTGCACGGTGGCCGGGTCTTCGGGTTTATAAGCCCACATCAGACTCGCCCTCTGCTGGCAAGGTAGGAGACAGCGACGGAGCATTATCTGAACTATGTTGGTCGGTTTGGCCCCAGTCTCCATCACGCTGGACACGCGCTTCTGCAACGCCTTCACCTCGTCAGCAGATTCCCAATCGAGACCTTTTTTGGTCCACGAGGTCATCCTTGGGGGGAGGGAGGGGTTCCAGATCTAAACTCAGGGGGTCGCTGCCCAGGCCGCCTCCCATGGTTCGGTTATGTAAAACCATTCCTTTTGCCACACCTTGACGGTGTCAATGAACGTCCCGTCCGGCCATTGGACTCAGGTGAGCTTGTTGATCATCGCTCCACCACAGTCCGCGTGTGCGCCATCGACCACCTTCGGCTTGACATTGAAGATCTTTAGCCATAGGTCGAAGTGCGGCTGGACCCGCAGAAGAGCCTTGCAAACGATGATGAAGGTGGAAATATGGAGGAGGGAATTGGGGGCTAGATCGTGGAAGTCTAGCCCATAGAAGAACATTAATCCCCGCACAAATGGGTGTAGCGGGAATCCCAACCCCCAGATAGAATGGGAAAGGGATACTGCCCTTTCACCCAGCTTGGGCGTGGGGATGACCTGGCCCTTCTCGGGGGCTCGGTGAGCGACATCGCCCGATAGGTAGCTGGCCCATTTCAGCCCCTTGATGTCATCGTTGGTGACGATGGAGGCCTCCCACTTGCCATTAGCCCCGGATCCGGCCATGAACGTGGCTGGGAAGAACGGGGAAGGGATTCGTTGCATACAGATAAAGCGGGGCGCTGGAGCTCTAGAGATTGGAGAGGCAACAGCGGGAGGTGAAAGAAGGCATGAGATGATAACTATAGCAGCTCCCTTCTTTATAGGCTACGGAGAAGCCAAGTGTTCCCCTTTTCATGCCGTGGGCTTCTCCACTTCTCGATATACTCATGACGTTATGCGCGGGTGGGGGAATCAAAGTCAATGATCATATCCCATGAAAAACGGGGCACGATCTCTGTTTGGATGAGACGTGTCAGTGGAGGGGTGGCCTCGAGTCATGCATCAAGACCCGCCAGCCGTTCGGCGTTATGACCGGTCACGACCCTTCGCTAAAAGTTGTCAGGCATGGGCACTATTCACACTCGGACACTTTGGCCTTCGAGGCTAAGTAAAGTAGACGCTTCAGATTCCAAACACCACTCAAACTCCGAATACGCACAGGACAAAATGAAGAAGTCGCCTCACAAGCCGAAGACCATGATGTGTGTGGACGCCAGATACAAGCCTGGCATTGGAATCTAGTTTGGGGGCTACTGAGGGAGTCTTGGACTAAGGGGTCCTCGGGCCGTTGACCCATTACTTATGGGTCGGACTGATGGGCTACTATGGGGCCAAGCTAGAGTGCAGACCCGTGACCGGACAGGAGATCTTCGGAGTCGTGGTGTGTCCTCCAAGTCAAGATTAGCGTGATCTTTCCTTCATTGTAACTGATCGCATGTAACCCTAACCCTACTGGTGTCTATATAAACCAGAGGGTTTAGAGCTTCAGGGCTAGAGCTACATTCATCACCTCATCACCTTAGGGTTTAGCTTGCTTGATCTCGAGGTAGATCTACTCTGTAACCATACCATACATCGAATACAATCAAGCAGGACGTAGGGTTGTACCTCTTCGAGAGGGCCCGAACCTGAGTAAATACCGTGTTCATCGTCCCTTGTTCCCCATCGATCCTAGATCCAACTCCCCATTAAGGAAAGCCGTCTGCCCATCTGATGAACGAGAAGACCGTGCGAGGCAGCCCGTGATAGTAGTACTCCCACAGGGACCCCCTACCCGAGATCCGCCGGTTTTGACACCGACAGGCACCGGTCCTTACAAGCCCCATGCGCCTGGGGAGGGGAAACACTGAGGGAGAGAGCCTCCACTTGGCTTGGAGAGTACTCCTCCCCCCTTGGCCGCCGCCCCTGCCTTGGGAGGGGGGCTAGGGCTGGCATGCCCCTCCCTCACCCCTATATATAGGGGAGAGGCGCATGGGGCAGCAAACCCTTCCACGCTTACCCGTCCCCCTCCCGTAGTTTCCTCCACATTCCGTGAGCGCTTGGCGAAGCCCTACCGAAATTCCACTGTCACCATCACCACCACCACGCCATCGTGTCAGTCACGTGTGGTGCTTGGATGAGATTGAATCGCGACGCGAGTATGACTACGCCAACCACAATCTCTAGATCATTAACGTTTCGGTATACAAGGGTATGTAGACACCTCTCCCTCTCGTTGCTATGCATCCCCATAGATAGATCTTGGGTGTTCCTAGTATTCTTTTCCATGCTTCATTCCCCATCAAGATGATCTACCAATTAACTACCAAAATGTAGTGAACAGTAGGGGATTACAGATGTTCTTTTGGATTCAAAACATTGTTTTACTGGGGGATTCCACGTCAACTAACGAATCAAACCAAATAAATACTCGACAAACCCTAGAATCAACATGGAAACATAGGATATAGGGGATTGGTCACAATGCCCGCAACTAACCCTCCTGCAACCCATGAAATCGTGATGGCAAAATCACAAAGTAAACGGCCGTTGCGAAATAGGGGGTAACAAACAGTAAAACCAACACCAATTCAGCGCCATGGGATGCCTCCCTCAGTTGTGCAAACAAATATGGCACGGCCAATCCAATGAAAAACCATTGACAACGACTAGGTTAACACAGGTAATGAGCGACAGATTGGGGGCAGATGCAGAGGAGATGAAATGGGTCTCACCGAGAGAACTCGCCGACAATCGCCTTGAATCAACCGGGAACAAAATCCGCTGAGCACCACCGATTCAGAGCAGGGGGAGGGAAGCAGTGAGAGAATTGTGAGTGAAGAGGCGCGTCTACCAATTCTCGGGCAGCTTGAATGTGTGGGGGTGGGTGGGGTAAGGGTGAGAGTGGGGTGGGCGACACTTCGCACACCCGTTTGCTATGGCCCACACGTCATCGACTTCCTGCAAACGCTCGCGTGCAAACCAACCCGTCGACAGGATGGAACTACCCAACACTGACGACGCGCGTCGGATTCAAAGTGGACAATGTCAAAACAGTTCGATCGTTTTGCAGAAAAACTTTGGTGCACCACATACATATCTCTACTTCTGTACTACTTAAAAAGAACGTAAGGTTCTCGTTTTACCTTTCTTTTCACCATCCCTTCATCCAACCTTCACTGTATAATAACCAATCACCTAATTTACTTATGAACCTTTACTTATCAATCTTCTGATCAAAATATAAGGCAAATCACGAACATAATTTGATAAACATTTATTTACACAATCGCCTACTATAGGCAGGTAAATCACTTCTGATCAAAATATAAGGTAAATCACAGATAAAATTTGATGAATATTTATCTACACAATTACTCCCTCCGTCCAAAAATACTCGTCGGAGAAATGGATGTATCTAGATGTATTTTAGTTCTAGATACATCCATTTTTATCAATTTCTCTGACAAGTATTTTCAGACGGAGGGAGTATATATATTATGAACAGGTAAATTACGAGCTAACGTATTAAAATATTTATATTTCATTGCAAACGCACGTGACATTGTTCTTCGTTTAAAAATTGGTTGCCTCTTCCGGTGGTCACTGGGCGCCCACCGGCCAACTGCCCAGATTCACTCGATATGCTTACGAATCACGTACACACACTGAGAACGCACAGTTGCCGCCGTGAGAGCACGGCACGCCGCACACTCCCACGCATCCGCACCTGGACTCCACGATGGCGGCAACCCGAAGCGCGGTCATCTCCGCTGCCACCATCGTTGCGCCGCCCGGCTTTGGCAGGCGCCGTCTTGCCCCCTGCCTTGCGGCGCCTGCACGAGGCGCATCAGGAGTCGCCGCGTCCGCCTCCGCCTCCGGGAAGGTGCCCCCGCGCTCTGCCCTGCATGCCAGCGCCTCCCCCTCCTCCACCACCGGGGCGCCCGACTCCGACGAGGCCGCTGCGGTGAGTATTCGCCCCGTTGGCGCATTCCATCGAGCAAGTTGCAGGCCGGCCTTTCTTAGTTCCTTGTGCAGGAATCTTTGGTGGAAGCGGAGCTGAGCAAACTCGCCTGCCCAATCTGCTATTACCCGCTCGTAAGCTCGATAGATCATCAGTCAGCGTAAGTGGTCTTTTCATTTGTGTGCTAGCCGCATTCCAGGGTGCTATTGAGCGATTGTTCGTCGGTTCCTTTTCAGGCCATCCAAATCCGATTCTAGCCTTGAATGTTCTACTTGCAAGAAATTGTACTCTAAGGATGATTACTGGGATCTGACTGTGGCAGTTGGTTCTACTGAGTACTCGGAGACCATGCCTGCTGCAACTGAGCTTTTCAGGTAAAATGTGTTAATTCTTTCAAAATTAGACAAGTTCATGATGGTAGATGGACACAGGGCAATATAAATGGCTGGCACGTTGCTTGAAAAACATTGCTTAAATAAATAAAAAAGAGGCTGACAGATATGGCCATCTTTTTGAATTATGCCATGGTCATAATTTAGTTAAGCATTCTGTCTCAGTTCTTTCAGAGTAACAAGGAATTAACAATTATAGACCAATTAACCTCAGAAAGCACGTCTTAGAATTTAGGGCTGTATAACATGCACTGCAAGAAAACTCGGTGACCATGAAACCTTGAACATGTTGGACCAGCGCGACGTTGTGTGATGAAAGGTGTCTTTCTTGGACCATTGGGAATGATTCAATATGGGGTTGCAACTTGTTAGTAATGCTGGGGAGCTGAGACAATTTTTTAATTAGTATTATTCAGACTATTCCTTACGAACGATTATTTGAACAGGACTCAACTGGTATCATTTCTTTATGAGAGAGGATGGCGCCAAAATTTCATGTGGGGTGGTTTCCCAGGCTTAGAGAAAGAGGTCACGTCGCTCGACTATCATTTGATGAAATAATCAATCACAATCATCATTATATACTGTATAAATTATCTAACTGCCAACTTTTCTTACTCTATGAGAGAGAAAAATCGTACCTACAGAGCAGTCTGTTACTATATAATCTTGTGTGGTTACAGGTTAGCAAGCTCCAACCAAATAAATATTGTGAGAAATATGGTCATAGACCCTTACAACAAGTTGCGGACTAGTTTATTAGTAATTAGCTTGTCCCTAAGTCTGTGCTCTAGTCAGATCCTACTACCTCCGTCCGGGTTTATTAAGCTCCCTAGTATTTTGAGTCAATGACCATTCATATAACTAATAAAATATAGTATATATGTTACAAAAAGTTGACTGTTGGATTTGTATTTGAAAGAACTTTCCGAAGGTATAATTTTTATGGTATATAGTTTAAATTTTATTAGTTAAATTTGTTGGTCAAACTTTGCCCCAAAATAAGAGGGGGCCTAATAAACCCGTACGGAGGTAGTATTTGCTTATGCATATTTAGGCATTATGTATCATTTGTGCCTGCAATTATATTTACTCAACTTTCTAAAAACATTACAATACAACTACAGTTTGAGATGGCTAAGGATTATTTGAAGCCAAAAAGTGGAGGGATTATAATTGATGCAAGCTGTGGAAGTGGGTTATTTTCAAGATTATTTGTTAAAAGCGAACTATATTGCCTTGTTGTGGCACTAGATTTCTCAGAGAATATGTTGAAGCAATGCAAGGAATTCATCAAGCAGGAAAACATTTCAGACGAGTATGGTTTACAGTTCTCCTGATGTTCAAGTTTTCTTTCTTTCTGCAACTCCTTTGTCGCACATGATCAATGGTCTGAGCTGTCATTCGTCTCCTTTATAGCTTTTTCCTGTGATTATTTTTTCTAATGTTGAATGCAGCACTCCAATATTTTTTTTCTGTTGTTTCAGACGATTAGTATTGGTGAGAGCTGATATATCCAGACTCCCTTTTGTGAGTGGCTCAATTGATGCTCTGCATGCAGGTGCTGCAATTCATTGTTGGCCATCCCCAGCTTGTGCTGTAAGGGTCCTACTGGATATTCAAATTTATTTCTGCAAACTCTTCTTCCTTAAGTGTCTCTTAATATTCAAAGAGGTCAACGTGCTTTTGTGCCTCAGTTGTTCCTTGATTATGTATTTTTTATAGTGCCATGCCATTTTGGTTGCTCCACATTCTACTGTGGAATCAAAATACACATGAACATATGCTAGTTTCCGTGCTTCAGTTCTAAAGATAATGGAAAACGGGCATAGCACTATGATCATGATGGGGATATGCACATGTCCACTATCACACACACACAGGGAATCAATATAAGTAAGAAGCAAGATGCAAGAAACCTTTTTCAGGTGCTTTCTGGAAAAGTATATTAAGCTCTGCCTCATGAACTTAATGAAGAACAATGTTTCACTTTCCTAAAAATTTGTAGCTTACGTTATTGTGTATATGTAAGTAAGTTTGCATCAACAAGCTTCTTTAGCCATAATTTATGTATCCATAACTTTGCAGTAATATGCTATTTGCTACCGCTCTACATAGGCCAAAAGGATAAAAATTCTAAAATATTTTGGCATTTTTGTAGGTTGCAGAAATCAGTCGAGTCCTCCGCCCTGGGGGTGTTTTTGTTGGTTCTACTTTCATAGCAGATGTTCTTCCACCAGTAATCCCATTACTGAGGATTGGACGCCCGGTAATCCTGAGTTCCCGACTCCCTAGTAACCCACAAATAGTTCTCTTTATATGGCCATCACAGCTTATTATTTTCACAACCACGAACCATGGCAGGTATTTAGAATTGATCGTTTAATAGTTTGCCACTTCCATATTGGTAGAAGGGAGATTTAGCTTCAGAGAATCTGATACTGCTATTTACAGATTCACTTTGCTCAACTCTGTTCCGCCATAAACTTATTTCTTTGAACAATCTTGCAGTACATTGATCAAATCACAGGCAATAATACCTTCTTATCAGAGCTGGAGCTTGAAGATCTTTGTAGTGCATGTGGGCTGGTTAATTTTACATTTGTCAGAAATGGATTCTATATAATGTTCTCTGCTACTAAAGCAAGCTAGTTAAATAACTGAAGAATCACCTGAAGCATTATCACATAGCTCCTTGATTATGCATTGTAAGTCGTGAATACACCCTTCGATAATCGACTTAAATGAATTGTACGTCAGTTTATCTTCCCTATCTCTTATTCTAAATGTTGACTTTTTTGTTGCAGGTTCCTCATGGGCCAACCTTTCTGTCAGCACTGATAGTTTTGCTCAAGGTATGTGCGATATGAATAATGAAAGCGTACATTTTACTTCACTGACGTCATAGTGAGATTGCTCATAGCAATTATTTATGTAAAAGTTCAAGAAAAAAGTCTTCATGTAAAGCAGTGGAGGTCCTTAAACCTGTAACTTTTTGTGCGTTCTCATATTGATTTGATTCAACAGCGTTGATCGCCTAGCAGTGATGTTGGACTGTCTTAGTGGAGAGTTTGTGCTGAGGTAGGAACCTTGAGAGATTTCTCGGTTCCTGAGTCCTGACCTCACCTTTCAAGGGAACGTATCTAGTGCAGGTGCTACCGGTGCACCGAACCCTGTTGCACATTAAAAAAGTTCAAAAAAAATCTAGAAAAAAAATTAATGCATTGACGCAACATCATTGTAAGTTGTCACAAAAATTCACATCAAAATTCGAAACATTGCTCGAGATACAAAAATGACAAATTTGACATCAGTGTGCTAATGGGCCAAAACTAAAGCCCAACTTGTGTTATGTACTATTCAGTGTCAAATTTGTCATTTTTGTATCTCGAGCAATGTTATGAATTTCGATTTGAAATTTTGTGACGACATACATTAATGTTGTGTCAATGCACTAACTTTTTTATATATTTTTTTGAACATTTTACAATGTGCAACCGGGGACCGGTGCACCGGTAGCACCAATTGCCCCGTGCACAAGATACATTCCCACCTTTGAAACTCCTTGGTTTGGGCAGTCCTAAAACATTTGTAGACTCGAGTTTGTTGAAATCTTGGAGGCGACTAAGGTGCATGCCGGACCGTCCGAAATGTAAGTTATCAATGTGCTTTGCAAGTACTTTTAGAGATGAGACACCGTAAAATTTCTGTGGTAACTGCCCAAGCCCTATATCATGGCCCTGGTACTTGAAAACGGCCCATCAAGGCCCATAAACAAGAGGAGGCCCAACCACAGATTTGACCCAGCTACATGGGCCATGTGAATTCCACGGGCTACTTGACTGTGCGGGAGCTATTGTTTCACTTGTTCCAGCCCGCCTCTGGCGCGGGGCTACTGGGCCGGCCCAGTATTGTAGCTGTGCGTGAGTTTTTTCTCTCTCCGTGTGTGGTTTCTCATTGTGGTTTTCAGTTTGCATCGGTTCTCTCCGGTTTTGCTTCTTTTTATAATTTTTCCTTTTTTCTTTGGATTTCTTTAGTTTATCTTCCTCTTTCAACACATGTCTGCATTTTGCATACACATTGTACATTTTTTGTATACATCACGAACATTTTTTACACGTTTAATATTTTTCAAATACATGATTAATATACTTTTCAAACATATGTTTTGATGTCTTTTTTTCAAACACATTTTCAATTTTTGTGCACATCTAAAACATTTTTTGAAACACACGTTTTTGAACACATGTTAAAAAAAATTCAAATACATGTTGAAACATTTTTGTGAGTAATACAAAAAATACTTTTTTAACTGCGCAAACATTATTTACATTGTATAAACATTTTCTAAAATGCCATAAACATATTTTTAAAACTCATGAACATCTTTTTAAATGCAGCGCACACTTTTTTGAATGGTACTAAATGCTTTTTACACAAACTCTTTTTACATTGTATAAACATTTTTAAATGTCAAGTACATTTTTGTAAACACATGATTTTTTTAAATTCTCACAAACATTTTTAATTGCTATCAGCATTTTTTAAAATACTATATGAACATTTTTTAACACCTAATGAACGTATTTTAAATTTAAATATATTTTTCCCATCTCAGAAATGTAAATAAAACTAGTAAACAAAGAAAGGAAAAGTGAGAAAAACCCCTGAAAACATGTTCTTTTGGGTTAAAAAATGTGTTTCGGTCATCTCTATATTTCACCAAACCTACAGAGTCACACGCTTAAGAACCTTTAATCTCTTATAAGTACAAGATGAGTTAGGAGCTTTAGGAAATATCACCAAAAGGTCTCGGAGATGGTGGAAATAATAATGAGAGAGAATCAGAAGCGTTTAGAAGAGAACACAAGAGTTTGAAGGAAAATCGGATAAAACCGAAAGACCAGAAAAGTTCCCGGGGGCATAAATATATGTGTGGGAGGGTTCCGTAATTTTCGGAACGTCCCAGAGGTGTAGGGGCGCCCTGGGCCAGCCACAATAGGCAAGGCCTGTAGGTGGTGGTTAAATGGAGCTATGAGGCCCATTAGGAGGGCGGCACCCCTAGGC